TGTTATTGCATGGTGATGAAAGGTAAACAGGAGAGCTTCAATAGTTTGTTCTATGCCCACTCATAATATAACCACATCTTACCTAGATGTCCTTTTGACCTGTTTTCCAAAATGTATGAAGCTGTAATGTCTGTATTCTTTTTCCCTCTTCTGATACTGTAGTTTCCCCTTGACTCCTTCTATCTGTAGTTTCATCTTCTCCCTGAAGCCCTTTTCCTCTTTGCTTCTGTCTCTCCCCACTATCACTCTATCTGTTAACTGTCTATTGTAGAATTAGAATTAATCAGTTTAGCTAATCAAAATGTGGACGTTAACAAAGTTCTTTTAATTGTATCTTCTTGATTTTATGGAGAAATAACCAGTTTAAAACAAAACAAGAAAAAGTCTGTAAGACACAATTGGTAATACATTTATTGGCAATTATAACCTGATTTGGTTGGTACTGGGAGAAGCACAATGATTTCTAGAAACTTGTTGCCTGAGCTTCTCTCTTGCAATTATAGGAATGACAAAGGTGATAAAGTCAGCTTAGTGCAGTTAGGGTGAAGCTTGAGCCACAGAATCCTGGTGCAGATTTTGTCATGACTTTATGCTAATGCTATGGGTTTAGCCTAGTAACATGAGAAAGCTCAGTGAGAACGCTGTGTCCCAAATTCCATAGCATTTTTCTAATCCACTATTAGACATTACAATGAGAACACATTAGCTAATTATAAATCATTACCTCCTCCTGCTCAGGTAGACAGTACTCAGAATCCTCTAGTGTCCCAGAACACTATAAATCATCTAAACATGAAGCTCTGATTATCCTGCAAAATCTTGGTTGTATTTAGTTAGGGAAGGTTTGGGAAAGCATCTGGTATGACCTTGGTTACCATGGAACTTATTAACTCGAGTCACTGAGCATCCCTAGCAAAGTATATAAACCATATACATGGCATTAATATCCACATAGATATATCCTGCCATTTTGTCCTAGGACACACTGGGTTTGCTGTAAGAAATGTAAACTGGGATGGGGTCTCTTTGGGTTTCTCCAAAATCTGTATGGGGCAGCTGCTGTACCATTTGTACCTGCAAATAGTACCATGAGACTAATTGCCTAAGCAAAAAGCAAAATGCGTATTGAAAATGCTAATAATAATAATAACAACATGTATATTAGGGGCTCCAGGAGGAAAAACGTGGGTGATAATGCATATTTATTTGTCTCTTAGCATAGATATGTTCTGGATTATAACAAGACTCTCCATTTTGAGATGAGGCTGTGAAGCACCGTTTTATTTGAGATGAGGTACCCACCCTACCGGCTGTGTATGAAAATGAGATTCTGACACATGCCACCTTCATTCATGGCTATTTTATCTCTTCTCTTGTTCTAACATCTATAATGTTAAACATAATTTCTTTCATAATTTTTTCAGTACATCATCAGCTGTCAGTGTGGCAGGTGGCCGTCAGCCTGGAATACACAGCTGCGGGGATGGAGAGAAGAACTTTGTGAGAGCAAGTGAACAGGAAGAAAGTAGGGCCACTAGGAAGGACACAAAACAGAGGACAGCGGGACTTTGTGGAGAATGTCTTAGAAATGGGCTGGAGGTGGGTAGAATGGGGAACGATTAGTAGTTTGCAACCAGAAAGAGAAATTATTTGCCTATAGGAACACGCTTTTCACAACTATGTTGAATGTCTAAACTTCATGTACCTGTCTGTAGCTTTCAGCTCTGCTATGCTTACCAAAGGACATTTGAGAGAAGAGTGCTCTACAGTGAAGCTGGGCTGTTGCTCATGATCTTAATTCTGGGTCTGGAACTTCCTGCCTAGGTAAGCTGGGCCAGTTGCTTTCCTTGATTTTTAAGTTGTTACATCTGTAAGAGAAGAATACAATCGTGCTTCATGGGGACGTTTACAAGAATTCATAGGTAATATTTGTAGAGTGCTTTGAGCTTGAGGAGTGCTATCGATATACAGATGGACTTTATACCCCACCTAGCCATACGGATAACCATTTCTTTAAATAGAGAGATCAAGTGGCAAGTGCCATCTCAATCTAAACAGGGAACATTACCAGCCACACCCCCAGCCTGATCCCTACCGCTGCCTGAACTGGAATAGACTCCATCTTCTGGGCATGATTCTCATAAAAGAACACACAACATGTAGCAACCAATGCCTGCACCTAGGAGTAAGCAGGAGTCGCATATATGCTGCTAAAGGCACATGTTACACTGCTGCGTCATGAATGTGATGCCCTGTTCTTCACCTGTGCCTTTGGCTTCCTTCCAGAGTAGTGGTTTGAATCTCGGATGTTATTCATTAGCATATGCAGTAATCTGCCACCATCTTACATCTCGAGTACTTACACGAAACTACAGCCAGTGGCACTAGTTGATTTTGCACATGCAAAGCCAACTGCTTTTGGTATTATCCCTAACTCAACTGAACATAGACCCAAAAAACACTAGAGTCTGAGATTAAGAAAAGAAAGGCAGAGGAGGACCAAGGGAAAGTGACCTGCTGAGATCAGAGGAAAAGGAAACATTAAGTGGGGAACAATCTTCCCTGGGCCTATGAGATGGACTAGGTGACCTAATATCTCTTTTCTGTCTCCATTTTATACAGTTTTGTGAGCCTCAAAGCAGCAAAAAGAGAAAAGAGGTGCAGGATCCATCTAGTGAGGTGCCAAGCAGACGGGTGCAAGATCAGCCCCTCAGAGAGCCAAGCTTCAAGCAGAAGCACAGCAGCTCCCTATGGATGTGCAGGCCGGGGCGGATCAAGATCGGTGCCCAGCCGAGAGGTGGGTAGCAGAGAGGTACCCGGGGTGCTGAGCACCCACCGCCTGCTCCCCAGCGGCCAGGCCATGCTTTGTGCTCTGTGCTGGGGCAGCACAGCATCTGACAGAGATGTTCCCTGTCTTTTTCCCGCATATAGGATGAAACAGGGAGAGTCTGTTGGATTTCCTTCCTTTAGAGGAGGTTGGAAAGGACCTAATATTCCCTCGTGTGGGATAAACTCGTCTTTCCTCACTTCAGGGCTCTGTGGGCGGCTGAACGCGGGAGCCTCCCCCCTCAGGCGTTAGCACTGGAGGAGGGACGGGGAGAACTCGGCGCAGGGCAGGCAGCCTCTCCGGGAAAGCGCATCGTGCCCTGGCGCTCCTGCCGCCTGCCCTCTGGCCCT